CACAAAGAAAAACGTCTAAAATGTGAGCGAATTTGCAAGTTTTTGAGTTGTTTTTATTTTCCGCGCTCAGGCTGACGTAAGTGACCGGAAGTGAAATTTAACCTCCTTAGCAACGCGCGCGAGCGCGCGCATGAATCGGTTAATGGCCCTTAAAAGGTACAACGAGCACCCCCGTCATTTTTATGTGGGAGTCCCCGCCGGGGGACCTTGCGTTTTCACTAGGCCGATTAACTAGCTGAGGATTCCTTCTAGATGTTTGTTTACAGACCAACATCTGCAAGCTAAATGTGACATCTGTTTTCTCTGGAAATTAAACCCAGAATTTAACCCGCTGACTCAGAAGATTCAAATTACAAAAGCGCGCAACTTTCAGAAATGGCTGAGAGAGGAAGCGTTTTCAATGACTTCTCTTGCATTGATTCTAGCTATATTTATGCGAAGGAGAAGGCAGATCTTCCAGAGGATGCGTTAATGTCCCTGTTCGGGAAACAAGCCCGCGCTCCTACCCCCTCTCGCGGAGGACCAAGGACCGGACGCGAGCGGAGAGTGGCGGAAATCGAGCCCAGCAAGAAAATAAGCGTTATAATACACACATTTCGCCATATTGGATTTCCCGTTTGGTCAGTAGTACCCGGTAGTACCCGGTAGTACCTTTCTACAAACAAAAACAAAAGGCTAGGTAATTGCTTATTTCCTTAGAAATTACAACCAATTTGTCGAAAAAGGGTTACTTTATTCGATTTCGGGATTTGTACGTGGCATAAAATAAAATTCAAAGCAATAGACCTTGAGGTAAATGACTTACGTGGAAACCTAGAAAACTCGAGTCGAAAACCTTAAACGTGACTTCTGGCTCTGGTCACGTGACTCCTAGCCGTTTGCCGTTTGCGGTCTATAATAGTCTCTAATAGTCAAAACGTCGCACTCAGCATCATAGATTGACTCCATCGAGAAACAAACGAATAAACATTCATCTTCCCATCTTAGTTCACGATGTTAACAAGAAGCAAAAATATTTTGGTCCTAAAATTGGGAATGGTTTTTATCAAAACCACGAGAGTGTATTTATAAGGCGTTTTTATGTCTCTTGTCGTTGGGCTTTTAATCTTCAATTGAAAAAGAAGGCGAATGTGGAAACCAAAAAATTCTTAGACTAAACTGAGAACAAAATTGCAAGAGAAACAAAACAAAACAAGAACATACAAGAAAAACAAACCAAAACACTGATAATCTTGAATTTGCATGTAGCCTGATGTAAAAATAGCCTGGTGGCTGTTAATCATTTGTCATCATTGTCATCAACATCCTGTTTTAGATCTCAACTCCCCAGATGGCGCGCGTCTGTTATCAAGTTATCAAAGCCCTGAGAACCTGTGTGAAACATCTACTGCTATAAATTGAATTACCTTGACTGTAAGCGTAGGCTATACAAGTGGTTAATCTTCTGAAAAGTTCTATTCTATTTTCACGTTTTATTTTTAAACTTAGATTGAATTAATGAAATGTAGTATAACAGACAGAAAGCGTAGGTGTGAGTGAATTCTAGTCTGAGTAAAGGCCTCTCCATGGCTTGAAGGGACTGTTGTGATAAATGCCTTTCACAGATGTCAGAATGATTGACAAGCAGGAAGTGAGAAGGAAAACACTGGTTACGTCTTTCACTTCACAACACTGTATCCGTGGTTTTGGAGTTAAGCGCTCCAGAATCTCACTAAAGCGGGTTAAATACAAATAGACTGTGATGGGAGACTATAAAATAACATGGCCCAAGATGAAGTTGACGATTTTTTTCTTTTACTCATTACAGACGAAACGCAGTTAATTTATTATCACGCCGAGACGAGAGCCTGTCGGCAAAGCGAAGCTAATAATTCGTTAATGCGTTTCGCAGACTGATCACCAAAGTAAAACACCGAATGCAAGAAAGTACACTAAGCCTTCTGAAATCACAATTTGGTTGCCTGTAAGCAATCGAATTTGTACAACAACTCCAGCGAAAGTTCAACGTAACGATAATTACGGACTGGTGTCGTTTCATATGCCAAGAACACAAGGGCGGGAACAGTATTTTCAAATGAACCGCACTGATAAGTCACAATATAGACAAAGAGCATACATACCTTCCAGAATTTGTTATCATCATTTCTGTCTGATGCTCTCTGAATTTCTGCCATAGCTTCTTGTCTTGCAGAAGCAGCTTCATAGTTCGCATTTGAAGAAGTCTGCTAAAGCTAGGCTAACGGGACAACGCAAATCCGACGAAACCTGTGATGAAATGACAACTGAACACTCACTAGCTGCGCGCTCGATCAGAAGCGAGATCACATGTGCACTGAGTGCATTGGTATTAAATAACACAGCTTGTGCCTGAGAACAATAGCGAGGTGCGACGTCTTTTTGACAGCTTCCGGAAAAGTCACTCACTACACGAGACATCTGTGATGTCGCCTTCTTTGGCCTGTTGACATAAACCCGGCCAATCGCATTTGTGATAAAATGTCTTGCGTCGGCTGGGAATATTTTTCACCGGCAAACAGGACAAAGCATGTCAGTCGCATAACAGTAAACAAAACTCTTCCAACGGGTAAGTAAAATGCCGGTAGTAGTACATCGTTTACACGGCAAACTCAATGCTAAATGCCAGGCAGCAACATATGTTGTTAAAAAAGACTTTAGGTAAGTAAAATTGGATCGAAATTACTATATCAACGAAATTACTATATCGTTAGTATCAGATCGTATCAGGAGAACAGCTGTCAAAGCTTCCCAAGCATACGTTTTACAGAAACATCAAAGCACGCTAGACTGTTGGTTTGATAGCTCAGTTGCTTGAGCACTACACCGGTATCGCAGAGGTCATGGCTTCGAATTAAGTTCAAGCCTGAATGTTTTCAGCTTTAAAATTTCACAGTGTGTGTATAACTGCTATGATCAATCATGTCTCATATGTTTCTCCGCAGTTCAAATAGATCTGTTCTTGTGATAGATGTGACTGTGCTGGGGTAGAGGGGCGACGCAAATATTTTTTTATCAAGGTATCTTACTGTGTTGTTGGTTCAGATATATGATCTGCATTAAGTCTTAACAAAACCTCCCTAACAGATAATAGCGTTTGATGACAAGTCTTTATCGCTATTAGCATCACTACAGGTCTTATAAACGTCTGTTTTAGAACTGTATTATGTCAGCTGTATTATTATTTTCTTTTCCCTTTTCGACCGGAATTTTTTCTATCAATTTAATTGATAGAATAGTGATGTCTATAAATTCTAACGCGAGATCTCGACTGGCAAAACGAGATCAGATTTCGGCTTCTATCTCCACTTATAACAGGAGATCTGGACTTAGAACGAGATATCATCATGGTCCTCTGGCTAGTCAGCCATTACATCCTAGGGTAAAGTTGCAGTTATTTCGGTTTCTGCGGTCGGGGTTTGAGTCTGAGAGGTTTATTGGCCCTCTAGACTTGCCTCTTGGCCAACCAGTTAACGGTTCATGTCAGGCTTTCACAGGTATCATACAGGTCCCGGGGCCATGGTCAACAATGTTGCGATATGTTGCGTTGAAATGTTGCGATCGTTTGGCTGGGGTTAAAGTGCACCTAACCCCCAAAATTTTTTTTCGCTAAAATAATACAGCTTATTTTGTGGAGTAATTTGCCGCAAAAATTTTACGATTTTGGTCTGGGGAGAGTTAAAGCTGTGACGTTAAATCCAGAACGAATGCTTGGGCTGTCTCACTCAGGTCTTTTACTTTGTCCGAGTGTAGAAGCCTTTTTACAGCACAATTTCTTTCGCTGGGACTCCGCAGTCGACCGATTTCTGTTTTTACTAACAATGTCTTCTAGTTCGTCTGATTCTGAAATGAGCTTTGACTCAGAAGACTGAAATTTATTATATCGCTGGAGAGAATGACGGCTCACAATTTGTTTTTGCGCATCCTTATTGCGCACGAAATTCATGTCGCAACGTCACGCTACGCCATACATCAAGTGCGCGCGCTAACAATTATCCGCCGAAGGCGAGGTGAACATTGGTGAATATTCACCGCGTCCGAGGCGAATAATTGTTTAAGTATAATTTTCAGAGGTGAAACACAGAATAACGACTAAAACAGACTGTTCGTTTGCATACACGCATACAGCTGTAGTTTTAATAACAAGCTTACATGTAAGCTTACACCGATTGTGAATCAATTTACACATCAAGTTCGGCAGTAAAATAAACAAGCGAAACACTACGAAAAATAAATTTATCCCGTACCTTTGTTTTCTCGTTGTTGACCTCATTCACAGCTGTCATCATCGTCTAAAAATGAGTAGTTTTAGTTTGAAGAAAAATAAATTTCGGTCAATCGATCTGACCTGGCGATCAACGTAACCACTTCGTTTGCGATTCTTAAATTTCTTGAATACGAGTTCTTGAAATGATTTCTGATCCAAGGGCGACAGCAGCCATTTTGAAAATTCTCCATCCTTCCAAATATCCTGGACTTGGGGTGATGTCTTTCGAATAAATAAAATTTTGATTCAGCAACTGTCCGCCATGTTTACTTGCCGAGATGGCAAAGTTGGCGAGCTTAGTAACCAGACCTCAAAAATGTCATATTCATATTCACCGCCTGGAGCGGTGAATATAGCGTCATATAAGGAATCGCTCGACCAATCAGATTGCTGGAAACTCTTTGTTCAGCTCTGAAATTATACTAAAAACAAATATAGGGCTTGGTAGCGAGTGCGTCAGCTTCACTGCGGTGTAGTCTTTTAAATGATTTGTGTCTCTCTCATTTCTTTTCATAAATCACTTCTTTTCCTGAATTTCTGCATTTTCATAACTTGAAAAACAGAGGAAATTCTGTACGGGAGAACTTACAAATATTTCACCTTTTCTGCTCCTGTGCGACCGAAGTTTTCTACGAATGTGGACGCTAGGATGTATTCTTTTTGAAGGACTATTCTACCTAAAGGAACGACATCAGCTGTTGTGTTAAACTGAGTACGTTTACCTGATCTAAATTTCACTAAGCTTCTTTTATTGCCGATACTGTAGTTGTAATTTAGGATCGACCTAAAATAACGAAAGCTTCTAATCGGCGCACGTTCTTCAATGCGCCCTGTCTCGGAAACGAGCACGGTGACCCCCTATTTTTTTTAATTACGCCGACATCAACTCCGTGTACGTTTTAACCAGCATTTGATGCAGCTGAAAGACCACTGTTTCTAGCTTCTGAAATCTGCTCATCGATAAAGGCCTCTGCAAAGGCAAGACAACTAACGCGACGTTCTATTTAAGTGGCAATAGCAAAGAGTTGGAAAATTAAATTTTTCCCAAGTCCTGTGGGTAAGACAGGAAGAACATTGTTTCCTTTTAGTAGGTTGCGTTGCTCGACCTTCGATTCAAAGGAAATGAAAATATTCAGAACTTTTGGCACAAGCGGCTCTGAACACGTAATCTCTGTGAGCCATCATTTTGCTTTTCCAAACAGAGCCGATCACAGTTGGTTAACGTCACCATTTTGACGTATTAAACCTACTCCCCCCATAAAGTTTTTTCAAATTTTTGAAAAGACGATTTACTCTAAGGGGCTGAAACTTTCAATAGCTGTTCATTCATGCTCTACGGAAGTTTTGATATGTCACTCGTGTGTCTATCATTTTTGCTGTTGCCATAGCAACAGCAAATTTCATGTAGATTTTGCCAAAAATCAACTTTTTTGACATAATTCTGTATTATTTTCCAGTTTTCTTCATCAAATTGTAGGAATTTGCGAATTTGGGCATTTCATAAGCATTCTAACTTGATTTTGCGTTAATTTCCGTTATCTTTGAACTTTTTATGAAAATAGTGAAATACGAGATGGCGGATCCAAGATGGCGGGTCAAATGATATGATGCCATTTGACGTCAAATAGAGGCTGTTGTGTTTATTATCCTTCAAATATTTTTCGCAACACGCGCATCTTTGAAAAATGGGGCATATCACTCGGATATTTCCCAGTTTTAGCTGGGGCATATTCAGTCACGTGACGTGTTTAGACCAATCGCTCGCGAGCGAAAACATTTGATGGATTATAATACACAGTATGCATCAGTGAAATGGTTTAGTATTTTGAAGATAAAACTGAATTACAAACCTCGCTCTCAATGTTTATCTGTCGGACCATGAAAATGAAGGCTTTGCGCTTATAAACTGTCAAGTCCTTAAAAAGTATTGAAACAATTGCGGCATTTAGTTCGAGTGAAGTCAGGTGTATAGTTCTCACCTTTTCATTATAAAGCGGCAAAAGCTGAAGGAACAGGTTAATCAGGGCAGTTTCCTAGTGGAAGCCGAAAAATATATCTATTTTGTTATTTAAGAATGGGAAGTCCACACGGTAACTAATTCACATAAGAAACAGAAACTCGACTGCAATAATAACTGAATATGTTGCAAATGAACTCTTTGTCCCTAAATATTTTTACAAATGAATGAAGATGTGTACAGTTTTTTAATTTCTTTCAAAAGTCAAACTAAATGTATCGATTTTAATTTCAATTCAACAATAAGGATTAGATACTAGCAGAAATCGACAACTTAAACTCAGAATGTAATTAAACAGCCAATTATATTCACGAAAAGACAAGACGTTACAAACGTTTTTGCCATCATATAAGAGAAAAACTTTATTAAAAGAATCCTTCTTGTTTATTTTCTTCAATACATGCAGTGTTCCTTGCGTGAAAACGCGGCATAAATCTATCAAACACCAACAATAGGGAAGAATTACAACTGACATAAGATTTCTTCTCGTTTACGTCCGACTTTGCAATTGCACGAAGTTCAATACATGTTGCCTTAACTGATAGAAAAATATATTCTTTTAGAATCCAGCTTAGTTAACTTAGCTTTGATTCGGTTGCCCGTAGGTAAGCCATATTGGGGAAAAGAAACAAGATATCGCTAGGCGTGAGTGTGAAGCAAGACGGCTAATGTCTTTAATGATCAGCCACAAAATGCAAAACTGTCCACTTAATATTCATGTCCTGCTATTCTTTTTTACCATTTTTAATTTGAGGTTATGGATTTCGGACCACCGAGTCTCTTACAAAGAGTGTAATTCTTGCAGCATTTATTTGCAGCAAAATCAGCTGCTCTGTTCTCACTGTCCAAGTATAAAGGGAGACAAGCCGATGGGTTTGTTATACTGAACACGACGGAGGTCTGTGGAGTATTCAGCCATTCTATATCCTCCTGATCTGTTTTTATTCAGCACACTGTTCATTGCTACTCACTCAGCATTTGACGCAGGTCCCTCCACTCGAACGAAAGCGTTAATTCATCATGAATGCAACCAACTATTCGTCAAGTGCCTCACGACTCAAATGCTCTCCTCCTAAATTACCTGATGGTGGATATCCAATTGAAGAGTACGTCTTTTCAGTGTTTGCCATCTTCATAAACTTGTCATGTCCGCCTATTGTCCTTCTGAACGCGCTTGTCATAGCAGCAGTGACGACAAAACGAAGACTTCAAACTAACCATAACATGTTGCTGGCCTCCTTGGCAGGAACAGATCTGACAGTGGGAATCGCCGCCCAGCCAGCCTTCATCGCACAAGAAATTCACTTCTTGACTGGTGGGCCACCATACATGACTTTATATTAATACCGCTAACCGGATAGCATATGTGACAACAATCTGCCTTTGCCTTGGATCGTGTTTACATCTGGCGCTTATCAGCGTCGAACGCTTTGTGGCAATGAAATATCCCTTTCGATATGAAAGCGTCGTGACCAAATCCCGTTTAACTGTAGCAGTAGCAGGTAGCTGGCTAATTATAATGGTTTATAGTGTACTGCTCGCTAAAATTGTCCCGGGCGTGAAAGTAATTCCAGGTCAAACTCAAATACTGGCAATTGTATGTTTGTTAACCATTTCCTACTGTCATGTATCTGTTTATTTTGTTTGCCGTCGTCACGAGGTTAAGATCAAATCTGAGCAAGTTTCTCAAGAAGCGAAAGCAAAGTTTCTGGCCGAAAGGAAAGCTTGGAAAACAACCAGTTTCATCATTGGTTGTGCTCTTATTTGCTACTCGCCAGGACTTCTGCGCGCCGTGGCATTTTATCTATTTTCTGATTATACAATAAGAAGAATTATCTCAAGATCCATACATATAACGATGTCCAGCTACGTGGTTAACTCTCTGTGTAATCCCATTATTTATTGTTGGAAAAGCAGGGAGATGCGCGAAGCACTGAAGCAGCTTCTAAGAAATCAACGCAGTTAGCTTCCCAGGCAGGACTCTTATGGGAAAATGTCAATTAAACTATTAAAAAATACCTTTCTGGGTGTGGTTCATGCATTATTTGAGCCCTAAAAGATACCACTTTAGAACAGGCAGACAGCGTTTTTTACATTATATCCCTAAATGCAGCCCTAAAAGATACCTTGACGGCTAAAAATAATATAATGGCTATTCCTTCGAAACAACCTAAGTGAGACCATTTTAAAATCCGTGATTTACACCTTGCATCGTGCTCGAATGTTACCTACTCACGGATTAACTGGTATTGATCACAAACAATGTGCGACTTATATAACTATTTAAAATTCGAAAATCAAATCTAGAGGTTGCTTATTGCTCCGCTTGTTCTGACGAAAAAGTCATTTAAAACCAATGGGCGTTTTACCAAATGTGGTCACATTTTCTTGCACGTTTATCAGCGCTGAAGACAATTTTCAAGCTAAACATCGAATCTATTTCTTCATTTATAACACTGCTACTGTAAGTACTCGCTTTTGATTGGTTGGAAGCAGATTAATTTAACCCATATTGTGTCGATAGCTGAACAATTAAATTGTGATTGTATCGGTCGCATTCTGTAGAGTAATGGAGTTAGCTCTTAAGTATACAAGCGAACATGTCCCATGTCCCATGTCCCCTGTCCCCTGTCCCCATGTCCCCGTGTCCCCATGTCCCATGTCCCCATGTCCCCTGTACCCATGTCCCCTGTACCCATGTCCCATGTCCCATGACCCATGACCCATGACCCATGACCCATGACCCATGACCCATGACCCATGGCCCATGTCCCATGTCATGTCCAGGATTGCTGTTTCAGCCAAACATAAAGCTATTTATGAAGAAGCAGCAGTAAACAAAACAATTCAATTCAATTAAATTCAGGTCAGTTTTATATTTACACCATAAAGGGAATTTACACACATTTTATATGGTAAAGTAATGAACATAGTGAGGTATTAAGAAATATGAAGCCGAGCCGTAAAGAAATAAACTTTATGTATGTGAGCGGTGGCCAAAGTAGCTAGAACTTTCTGATTGGACACCGCCATGGTGCGAGAGAAAAATCACCCCGAAAAGAAACACGAAAAAAATCAACCGAACGTCACTTTCTCTGATAGAATCTTGCCGTGATTTACATTAATGGTAAATCGGTCTTTTTTCTCCAAAAAATTACGGATTAATTGTACTTGTGAACAGATTGGACTTTTTCTGGTTTCCATTCGTGACTGCGACTGCGACTACATATGTATTTCAAAATTGAGGTAATAAATCAAACACGTGAGACCATTTTAGCACATTTCCAACACCGAGAAGACAGTTGAAAATACAAAGCGTATCGGAGTGTGCTTGAAAGACTTCGAGGTGTTGAAAATGTGATGACATGTTGTCTCAAGTATATGTAAATACTTAATCGAGACTAAAACCCAGGATAAAATAGAAAAAAGTACACTTTACATCTATCCTACTTAAGATCAGGAATCCAAACCATCACGGTTATCATTTCCTTTGTTTTAACTTGATAAAATGCTACGTCACATTTCAAATTATTTTACCAATCTTATAGCGGGAACTGATAAGACTACTGCTACGTTTTCGCATAACTTACGATAAAACCCTGGAGTAAGTTGGCAGAACTTTCGAGGCATCGCTGACGCCCTGATTCATGTTAGTCCCGCTAATCTCACTCTGCTATTTACTAATGAAGCCAAAAAATTGCTCGTGTACACATATAGTTCATTTTCAATTGTAACTTGAAGGCACCTCCCTTATCACATCACTGTCTCCGCTTGGAGTAATTCTCTCTCACTGGCTCCAGCTCCTTCTTCTCCTTCACGTTCTCCTTCTCCTTCCTCTTTAACATCTTCCCTGTTAACATCTTTCATCTTTTCTGTGGCTTGAAGTCGTCTGCAAAAGAACCACGACAGAAAGAAACATACCAAGGTGATGAACTTACACGTGACGAAAACTCCCACCACCACTTGCGCCAGTCCATCATGGTCGTACTCCAGACAATGGCCTCTTCTACCGCACCTGTAATTAAAAACCATTCTAACCGTTCCTAGGGCTGTCACGCAATTCAACATTCCATAAGGTAAAGAACTGAGGTGAGGCTATTACATGCCCACTCTAACAATAGCTACTCTGGTTTGTGGAGGGGTGGTTAGCCGTGAATTTTTACTACAGTGGTACTTCTTGATGGTACTAGCTTTCATTACAGTTTTCCTATGTTAAAATAATCCCTTTTGTATGGCATCTCGTTCACAGTGAACCTGAGGTACTCTTGCCTCGACACTCTCCAAAGAAGGCGCTCGATTTGTGTTGCACCAAGTTCTTCTTTGACCCACGCAGAATGGTCCTTTAATTTGTTTCTTAGCAGCAATGAATTGAGAATAGGATCCTGTTCCAACGCCAGGCATTCTTCCAGTTGCAGACACTTTGGCCTGCCGGTTAGCCCTCTAATCAAGCTTTTGCGCCATATCTAGTGATATCCAAGGTCTTTATTCAAGAAAACGAACTCACTTCAGTGTTCACGCAACTAAAACACAAAAACACTGCTGCACGCTGACACAACAACAAACACAATTACAGCAAAACGACAAGGGGAGCATATATAATTACTTTGTGTTCCAAAGAATGCATGTCTTATCCAGTAAAGCGCCAAACACAATAGGTCCTGGAATAGCTCCCAGAATTCTGATAAGATCCATCTGGATACCTAACCCGTAGGACCGCTGAGCGGGTGGGACACTCCTAAAGTAAGCAAAAAGGTGTTTGATCAAATTTCGCCTTTCAAGTTTTTTCGTTTTTAATTTGTAATGATATGCTTGTTAGTAATACAAAAAAGAATGGTTGCTAGCTCCATAAAGCGGGTGATAATGGCAACATAGGTTGATCGAACGTCATGCTGTCATCGCTTATCTTTCTTTTAAAATGCTTTCCCCAATCTTGCCCTGACTGAAGAAAAATTTTCTTCGAACGTGATCTGCACTTCCCTTTTAGTACCCTCCCCTCTCTACTCTGCCCATTACTCTCTAGTCAACCGATCTTTATTTCAGTTGATCTATCTTTGTACTACCTTAACTGGCTGCCTGGCTCCACTAACCCCTATGATTATTCCAGGCAGCCAGCACTCCATTTGATTTCAATTTTCTTCTCTTTCAAAATGTGCTTTAATTTGCGAGAACGTGTACAATAAAGATTTTAGTTGTTGTGTTTGTTGAAGATGCTCATTACAAACCTCAAGGTGACTATATACCCTGGAGTGCCATTCAGAAAAGTCATGAAAGGCAATAAACCGAGAATCGTCAAAAAGATCAGGCGGTTGAGCCCGCAGTCAACAGCGCAGATGCCTTTCTTCGCTTCTCCTGATGTTTTACCAGTTTTAGGGACGCAGGCGCAGTTGGAGTAGGAAAAGGAACCCTGATAGAAAATGACACAGAAAAGGATTACAAGATAACAACGAGCTCAATATAATACAGTAAAGATATAAAGTACATAGGAATAGCTTTCACAAAGCTTCGTACCTCGTTTGATTTGTCTCCCTCATTACAGCCAGCATGACAGGGCGAAAAATAGGTCAGCGACCCACCGCACACAGGAGCATAATTTACTCCAGAACAGTTACAGGCGTGGTTACATGGTGAAGAGAGTTGGACTGGACCCGAGCTATAAAATTTAAGACGAAATTAACCACGTAAATCATATATGATATAGGCTTGTGAACTGTTTTCTTTAATGAATGAATAAAGTAAGAAAGAAAGGAAGAAAGAAAGGAATGGAAGAATGAACGAATTAAAAGATATCAGAATTGGTAGACAGATAGAGGGATGGACTTGGATGGACGGACAGACGGACGGACAGACAGACGAGTTGACGGAGGGATGGATAGATTGACGAAGGGACGGACGGACGAATGGATAGATGGAAGAATGCACGAATAAATAGATAGAAGAATTGGTAGGCGAATGGTAGGATGGACTTGGAATAGACGAAGGGACGGACGGCCAGACAGACAGACAGACGGACGGACGGATTGATTGCTTAACGGACGAACGGACGAATGGATGGACGAAGGGGAGGGATCGACGGATGGATGGACAGATAGATGGATGGATAGATAAACCTCTTACCTGTTCAGATGTTGTTTATTAACACCAGCAATATTTGGAGTGTCGCATTTGATGTACAGAACACAGGCACTTGCAAGTCCAATTACAGTTACAACTAAACACATCCTGGCAGCACCAATCAAGCTTAATTTTTGGCGTTTGACGATATATGCCCCTGAAACAAGAAATATAAATAGAGGATATTTCAAGGCGGCGAAAAGATATGAATGTTATTAAATTTTTGAGTCGTAAAAACAACAGTTTTTCACGAACGAGCGCGGCGATTGAGTAAAAAACTTGCTTTTAGAGTCTCAACACAAGAAAATAAATACATATAAGTATATGCATATCGTGTATGTTTTGCTCACCAGTCAAGTCGCCAAAGAATGCACACGTTAGTGCTATCACGCCGTACAAAAAGGCTGCTTTCCCAGCCGGTAGATAAAACTGCTTTTCAATAACCTTTGGCATGAAAGCCACTGAAGCTGAGATGTAAAAGTGTTCAAAGCAGACACCCAATGTAATGAAGACAAATGGAAGGTGCGAAAACAATTCTTTTGTTGCCTTGGGAAGATCTTTGAGCTTGGTGTAGCCAGCGGTTACGTATCCCTCTTCCACGTCTTCTTCATTGGGCTACGAAAAAAGAAACACCAGAGATTGCATAGTTAAACCTTTGATCTTTAAAAAGGAGACAATGGCAATTTCTAACCAGAGATGTTGTTACGCTACAGCCGCTCTGAGTCTTATTGTAAGTTAGTTGGCAAACCAGGTCCAGACAACATCGGGCCCGAAGTCATGAAAGCAGATACTGAGGTCACTGCAAACATCATGATCAACCTGCTGCAGGATGCGTGGGAGAAAGAGCTTACCGGGAAAAGGCAAAGGCAAAGCTTCCCAAGAAAGGGAATCTCAGCGACTGAAAGAATTGGAGAGGAATCCGGCTTCTACCCCTTCCAAGCAAAGTCTTCGCTAGGTTGATTCTGGAGAGGATCAGGAAAGCTGTGGACACCAAACTGAGAGAGTAACAGGCTGGATTCCAGGCAGGCAGATTTTACACGGATCAGACAGCGACTCTCCTCATCATTATCGAACAGTCACTAGGATGGTAGTCACCGTTGCATGTCAATGTTGTTGACTTCAAGAAGGCGTTTGAAATGGTGGACAGAAGAGTGAGTTGGAGAATCGTGAGACACTACGGCATTCCTCAGAAGATGGTAAACATCATCAAGAGCTTCTATGAGGATACCAGCTGCAGATTCATCCACAATGCTGATTTGTCTGTACCCTTCACTGTCTACACAGGAGTGAGACAGAGCTGTATCCTGTCCCCACTCGTAATCGACGGGGTGATGAAAACAACGATGGAAGAGCCAAGAGGCATTCAATGGACCCTCCTGCAGAAGCTGGAGGAGTTAGATTTCGCCGACGACGTTGGCCTACTGTTACATACTCGGGAGCATATACAGGCCAAGACTGAGAGACTAGGCGATGTTGCCAGGACGACAGGTCTCGAGATCAATGTCACAAAGACCAACAACCGGCTAAGAATAAACGCAAGCCAGGAAGTTCCCATCACCATCGACGGTCACGCCATCGAAGAAGTTGATCGCCTCACCTACCTGGGTAGTATTGTGAGCAAGACAGGAGGGACAGATGAAGACATCAGGGCTAATATCAACAAAACACGTAAGGCCTTTGCCACCCTTAAGGCAGTATGGAGGAACCGGTACGAATTTGACACTAGTCAACAGCAATGTCAAACCAGTCCTCCTGTGCGAGGCAGAAACCCGGAGGCGCACTAAGAACTTCGACCACAAACTACAGGTCTTCCTCAACACCTGTCTCCGTCCGATGCTGCGCATCTCTAACCAAGAACTCTTGCGAAAAACCGGGCAGGACCCCATTATCGTCACCATCAGAACAGAAAGTGGAAATAGGTCGGGCATACCCTACGTAGAGAGCAGACGAGCATCATCCGCCAAACTTTGGATTGGAACCCTCGGGGGAAACGGAAAAGGGTAAGACCAACCCTGACATGGAAAAGAACTCTGCAAGCAGAGCTAAGGACCATCAGCATGACCTGGGAGGAGGCGAAGAAGACAGCTCAAGATCGAGAAAGATAGAGGCTCGTAGTCAAGGCCTTATGTTCCAGAGGGAACTAAGAGGAATCAAGTTGGCAAGCAAGTTAGCAAACTCCTAAGAAACGTTAAATGCACCCTACAAGAAAAGAAGAACATACAACATACATCAAGTTTAAGTGAAATTTAAAAAGCAAACTGATCGAATCGTCAGCATATGCGATCAATTTTAGATCTCAATTTTCAGATTAAGATCTAAAATGCGATAAAGCTGTGATCAACCTATGGTTAAACTGCGATCAAAATGCGATCAAAATGTGCTCAAGATCTAGATGTGTTCGTGTTTAAACTGCCATCAGCTTATGTTCCAACTGCGATTAAGTGGTGTTCACTGGAGTGTCGAAAGTAGGTCGCATTTGCTTTGGTGTTGCATTACTATGCTACATGATTGCCTTAGACAACTCACGCGCGCCACTTGATCACCCAATCAGAAATAAAACCGAAACCAATCGTGACTCGCTCACACACGTTTCCTCACACTTCGCGTCAGCTACATGCATTTACTTCGAAACTTGATTGGTTCTTCGCATTGTCTGTGTCCTTTGTAATTGGCTTTAGTAATAACCTTAGTTTTAGCTCTAAACAGCGTTCTGATTACATTCCAGTCACGATAAAACTGAGAGCAAAATGCGCTCAAACTAGAAATAGACCGTCATGTGCAGTGGGGAAACTGATTTAAGCTTGGCATGAAGCTACATAATAAAACTGCATTTAATTATCAATTGCAACCAACAAGCAAGTGAATTGAAATTACGCTCCTGACAAAGCAAACTTTAGCCAAGCAACAATCACGGACATAAGTCCTTGGGACGCTGATGTAATGATACGAATTATCTGTGTTTTACAACTGAAGCTTGAAAAAGCACTGCTATCCCTTTAAAAACGCGTTGCTGTTGCCCCCTCCCGACCCAATACGTTGTTGAAAATCATGTAGGAGAAATTGCAGGTACTAGTTTTCAACATTGTGGGTGGGGGAGGGGTTACGCAGGTAAAGTTGTATTCGCATCTGGCGTCTCCCTTGTTCAGTGGAAAAAATTTTAAGAAGGCTTCACATTTAAAAAAATCTGCGAGAAAAATGATAAACCACGCTAAAAGGACCTATAAGCAACTCTAGTAAATTAACTTACCAGTTTGGCTGTGGCTAGAGATTCACAGAGCTCTGTTTCCCGCTGCTTCTTGGTCGAAGGAAATTCCTTTGGGAATCCTAACAGCCAAATGCTCCAAAACACACAGATCGCACCAAATATGGCAAACCCTAGCCACCAGTTCCCAACCCAACGTGTATCGTGGATTGTCAACGAGGTCTGGACACCAAGTTCCACAAACATTGAAAGAAACTTTGAGACACACACGAATCCAACAGTGGCACCTGAAACAATTACCAGGAAACAATATCTGAACCAACTGACTTATCAAAGGTTTTATAATTAACAATTAGATTATGGGCTCGATATTTCTATCGCGTGATAGTTGACTCGGGCTGCGCCCTCGTCAACTATCACGCATAGAAATCGAGAGCGAATAACCTAATTGTTTTAGTATAAATCTACTAGTCGTTCAAAACTTTATCTAAATTCTCCTCACAGACACGGCTCGATAAAGGAAAGAAGCGGCCTTCATTTTGTTAACAAGCGCACACTGCTACGCTACTCACTATCTACAACGGAATTCTTTTACCTCACTTAATTGAAGAAGTTACATTTAACAATCATTCCACGAGCGCGCCCCGATGGATATGAGATGATAGAAAGCCGACGAGGCGCTTAGAGCCTTGTTGGCTATTATATAAGAAAATTCTTGAATTGCATCATCCAATGATCCAGTTTTTAATTATATATAATTGCTATGGCCTTAATTGATCAATAAACAGCGAAATTATAGTTAATGGAAATATGGAATGCATTTCTAATTGCACAAAGATCAGCAATTACCTTGTATCAACAATTACCATGACAACTAAACTCACCTAAAATTCCACAAGCGAGAAATATACCCACGTACATTGGTGACACATTGGCGCTGACGTTTTCATCCAAATATGGAATTCCCAAAGCGATCATCGGAGTACAGCCACCTCCTGCTACAACCATTCCCAGAATGAACAGCGCGTAGTAAAGAGTACTACCGCCGGTGGTTTCTTCTTTGCAATCACTTTTCCCGCCAAAATCAGTGCGATTTGCCATGCAAAGTCCTGAGTCACTTCCACTCAAAGTGGCATTTGTGACGACACCTAATATAAGCGAACCATGAAACTGTTAGAGATATTAGTACTGCATTTACTATTGGTACTTGTTTTAATATTGGAACTTGTACTGGCATTGGCTATGTATGGTAGTATCGGTTTTAATCATCATCACCATCAACATCAACATCATCATCATCATCATCATCAATAACAATAACATCAACATGATCATCATCGACATTATCAACATGATCATCAACAACATCAAGGTCCATCAACATCAACAACATCATCATCATTATCAACGTTATCAACAGCATTAATATCATCTAAGTTAGATCATGGTCTCTTCATGTCAACCATGTAGCCATGTTGTGTCATGATGGACATACCTGCTTCGTAAGGAGACGAGACAAAATGAGGCAGCATGAAAATAAAGAAACCCACACCCATTGTGAACACACCCCAGGCACAGAACGCTGGCTTCTTTCGTGAGCCTCCGAGGTAGCTTATCAGCGGAGTTACGATCATGGCTGCTACGTCATAACTGCTGGTCACCATGCCCATCATGTAACTGTAAACAAGTGCGGTTTTGAGAATTAAAAATTCACTTATGCAAACTACAAGATCTACCGCAATCTTCCGGCTAAACATTATTGTATTTTGTGTTGATATTTCTTACTATTTCCATTATACACCGCTTTCAGTTTTTAAGGATGTTCGGGTCAATAGGCCATTTCCGAGTTGTCTTTTCCCTCTGTGTCGTGAGAAACCATTCATATGAAAATGAGTTCCGCCTACAGGTTCATTTTCATGCAAATCAAACTCGTTTTCACATGAAAGGTTTTACATGCGGACTGGTTTTGAAACAGAGGCACAAGGTAACTCGGAAATGACCTGTTGTTTGTGAGCATCGTTACTGCGCACACAAGTCACACCCGCGTCATAATAAGCGGCCACGCGCTAAGACGTCGTAAAATGAACAACAATAATGCTTGCGGCCACTGCTAACACTGTGTAGATGCAACGATTTTAGATGTTCGCTGACCACTATTCTTCATTTGAAAGATCGCTTCCTCTACCGTTTTTCTACGCTTTGCGAAAAAAATTAGAACTTTAAAATCATATTATATTAGAACTTTAAAATTATTTTATATAAGAACTTTACTCTTTTTCCCTCACGAACGATCGAATTCCGCTTTTTTAAGCCCTTTGCTGTATGAGGGTTTCAGGATTTAGTTACTGATATGAAAAAGATTGCAACATTTGGAGTTATTAACGCCACGTCAACACCCCTAAGAATGGCGC